CACAGGGGCTGGCGAAACGTTAGGAAACAAAACTTCAAGACCACGGCCACACAGCCCGGAATACCCACACCAGCCATCCTACACTTATTTGCTTCTGTTGGTAGAACAAAAAGAAGAACTTAGTGAAGAAAAAGAAAAGAAATATATAAAGAAGTGACTCCCAAGCTTGATCACAAGTATAAACAATTTTTGTAACTTTTCACCTCCTCTTAAATTACAACAAATGATCTCTTCTTCCCATATCCCATCTCTTATCTATAAACAAATCCATAAAGCATCGTCATTTCAGTCCTCGTGAAGAAAAGAAATATATAAAGAAGTGACTCCCAAGCTTGATCACAAGTATAAACAATTTTTGTAACTTTTCACCTCCTCTTAAATTACAACAAATGATCTCTTCTTCCCATATCCCATCTCTTATCTATAAACAAATCCATAAAGCATCGTCATTTCAGTCCTCGTGTCAGCAAAAGTCTGTTAAGGGTTACCAGAAATAACATATCTATTTTAACCTTGGTCAAATAAACCAATTTTATATTTCTTCCTTTTACTTCTAGCAATCTTAATCTTTAGTCCATTCAAATAATGACTTAGAATTTGATTTCTTTTCATTTCTTCTTTGTCCCTTCTCACAAGATTCTTCAAAGCTTTAACAAGTCTCTTCTGTAAGTCCAATATAGAAAAATTATCCAGATAACTCTCTTAGTTTATTGTTTATATGTCCCTTTTAATTATTAAAATGTTAGCCAGTTTCTTTTGTATGTCCAGTGTAACATCTTTTTCCATATCATTCTTGTAGCCTGTCATTTGTAAATTCACTTTCCACTCAGTCTCTGTCTTGAAAGGTAAAACTTGTTCCTCTTCCATAACAAGTTTTAGACACAGTCTATCCATAGAAGCAGATATTGCTGTTGACATTGTTAATATTAATTTCTGATTTTTCAAAAGTGTCCTTCAATATTTCCAGTGTTAGAATATTTTGTGCCATTCTGTAACTGTTAGTCAAGTTTA